AAAATGTGTCACTATTACTAATATGATACATATTGAAAATATTGTGTTGTCCTCCTCCGGTTCTAAAACACTTGTTTGTGCCCGGAGCAGAAATAGGAGCTTAAACATTCTCCGAACTGAAGTTACTTCATCAAACAAATCATGTTAATTTAATTCTCATAGACAGACTTGAGAACTGGGTGGGCTCTCATGAACTGTCCAAAAATGGTGCATCCTTGCAAGGAAGAGACTACTTTGTGGAAATTGAAAATAATTGAAAAGAATAGCAATGAAAGGCAAAGACTACTTGCCTATCTGGATTCAAGAGCCCTACAATCTAAAGAACTAGTATGTAACCTTGGTGTACTAATGGATTCTGTTCTTAGTTTTAGCAGTCATGTCAAAGCAGTTACTAAATCAGCTTTTCATCACCTTAAGAATATCAACAAGACCTGAGATTTTCTGACTAAAGCAGACCTGGAGAAAACTCATCCACACCTTTATTTCTAGCAAGATTGATTACTGTAATGGTCTCCTAACCGGACTCTAAAAAAGACAATCAAAAAGGTTCAGATTATTCAAAATGCAGCTGCCAGAGTTCTCACTAGGAGTAAAAGAAGGGAACACATCACCCCCATTCTTAAATCCTTACACTGGCTACAAGTCTGTTACAGAATAGACTTTAAGATACTATTACTGGTCTCTAAATTGCTCAGTGGTGCAGGACCAGCATATTTATTTCATATGTTGCAGAGATATGAGCCGTGCAGAACTCTCAGATCATTAGCAACTAGTCAGTTAGTCCTGCCAAAGGGAAAGACTAAACATGGAGAAGCAGCGTTTAGCTACTATGCTGCTCTTAAATGGAACCAGTTGACAGAGAGCATTAGAAGAGCCCCGACAGTGGACACTTTTGAATCCAGGCTCAAAACATTCCTGTGTGAGCAGGTTTTCAGCCCAGTTTATACACTGTTAGCGTTTCTGGCCCTTTTTCCTCTGTAATGGCACTTTTTTTCAATCCTAATCTAACTTTTAATTTTTAATTTGATTAATAGTTTTATTTAATTATCCTAATTTCTAATATGATTTTTAATTTAATGATTCTTTTACATTTATTGTTTTAATTATGTTTTTTATGTTGTTTTTAATTATGTTTTTGTATTTGTGCTTCTGAATTTTCTCATTTGTAAAGCACTTTGAATGACAGCAGTGTTTGAAAGGTGCTAAATAAACTTGCCTTGCCTTAAAGTAGAATTACTATGAGTAATGTTAATGTCTTTTGTTGTGTTTAGAACAGACTTTTACATGTTACAAAAAGAGCTTTAATGCAAAGCGTTTGGTGTGCAGTAGCCTACAGCACAAAAAACCGTGTAGACAATACATATCATAGTTCATGTTATACAAACATTATCTGCAGTTGTGGTAGCTAATGCTAATAACTGAAATTAAAGTAGCTTTAAATCTAGCTGAACTCAGTTATCCTGTTCATATAGCACTCAGAAGAGGCACAAATGCCAAGATATTAGCTTTGTTTTGAGAACAAAATAAGTTTTTGCCTGATGTCTATGGGTGCCTACACACAAGAGGCAGACGCAGCGTCAGAAATGCAGTCCCCCAACGAATTTCAGTTAGGACACTGTGTTAGCTCTGTCGGACTATAAACATGCTTGCATGCAGTGAAAAGATGCTGTGTTGAGTGTCTAGAAAGTTTTGGTGGAGTCACATCAAACAATAGAAACGTGGATGGGATGGCACAGGCAGACAATGGCTGAAAATCCAAAATGGAGAAGAAGCTAATCCGTAGTGACATTGTGTACTCTTTTCCTGTTCCATATGACGTCTTTGCTTTTGTAGCTGTTCTGTGTAGCTCTGTATGTGACCATTGCCAAAATTTCCTTTTGATGGTCCATAGTTCTATTTTCTGGTTCTGGTTTCATTTCCCGCTGGATTTTGAACTATACAAACTCTGATCCAGCCGTGTATACGCCTTCTAGGCAGACAAGATCTGAAAGCCTCTGCGTCTACTGCTCCATCTTTGCACGGTCTAGTGTGTAGGCACCCTAACTGTCTAAGTTACTGAACATTACTACCTTATCTATATAATTTTCCTCCTATGGTCCACTTGCTAATAGCTAGCATGATACACTTCCAGGTATTAAACCATTAAGAAACAAGAGTAATGTTAGGTCTGTGATTATGTTCAATTATCAATTTGTATTCTTATGGTAAACATCAGAACAGAAGGTGAGTGACGCACAGGGCTAGGATGAAAATTTTAGCGAAGTCCATTTTGCTGAAAAGTGATCTACATCACTTAAACTAAAATATCTGAATATGTATATCAAAATTTTTAATGCAGTGCAAATTGGCAATGTTATGAAGGTACCATGGTTGTCATTATAGTGAATAATACAAACAGTCCAGCAACACAAAGCAGTCAGACAAACTGTACAATATAATAAATGGTAATGGTAAAGTAAATTTTAAACATGTAGTTTACCCACATTTTATTTCTGCTTTCCCTGAGATCAAAACAGTAAAATTGGCCAAAATCGACAGACGCTAGGTACCTAGCCATCACCCAGCAAAGCCAGTGGAGACCTGCCAGCGGAGATCCACAGCAAAACTATAAGGAAGAAGACTTATAAATAAACACTGCATTAACTGCAGTTTGACTGTAGATTTAGTTCATCTTCATCAACTGTATTATAAATAATGTCCTTTTTTGCAGGGGTAGACCCAAGTTTTAGTACTTGAGAATAATATTATAATGAAATACTAATACTTTTTAAAAATTTGCAGCCACAAAAAAGTACACCCACAATCTAGTACTTTTGGTCTTTTGCTGAAGCAGATATATAGATAGAATATTTGTTCTTTTAGTCAAGTAGTATTTTACATCTACTTTTACTTCATTACTGTACTTTGTTTTCACACATTATATACGTCTGATGCAGGTGTATGTACTGGGCATTAGATAGTACAAACATTTCTGCCTGCCCTAAAATGAAAATCATCTGAGTAAATAAAGAGCTGTTGGGCTAAAGTTTCAACATAGACTTTCTCCTCACTTAGTTTTTTCAAAGAGCAAATGTATCCAGGGGATGTGGTGTAAAGTGTATGTGTAAATCTAAATGGAAATTTCTGACCAAATCACTGTGATTTATTTAATACTTTAATTATGCATCAACAAATGCTTTGCTGCTAATCATGCATATCCACAAAATGCGCAATCTACAATGAAATTAAGCCTGTATAAAATGTTATAAAATTCTCTGTAGATTTAAATCCAAAGGAGTGGAAACCTAAAGTGACTAAACCTCTTACTTCTGCATCATTACTTATCACAGTTCTGTGCCTCCCTAATGGCTGGAATCACCAAATGTAGACAAAGGTAGGCACTGCCGTGCTCTTCAGGAGACCTTTAGCCTTAAATGAAAACATAAGAGTTAAGTAAAAAATACTTATAACAAGTATTAATTGATATAGATAACATAAAACTAACACTACATATTTATATTATTTATTATAGTTTAGATTATTGTTGTCTAGATAGCTAATGTTAGCTAACGTTATGATCAAAATGCTCAAGTCCACAGCGTACTATTTGGCTGCATATTATTAGCACTACTGTTATCGATACCCCCCTAATTCTGTATCACTCTGAATCAAATATGTATGAACTTGTTATCTTGCTATTGTCATCTAAGAGCAAACTGCTCTAGTATAGCTACAATATTACATATTATTAGAACTACTATTACCATTACCATCGTTGTTAGCTAGTGAGCTAACCTAGAGCAAGCCATCATTGATAGAATCTAGACAGCTTAACTACCTACACTGATGTATCTGGGGAATTGGACACCATTTTTTTTAAACAAAATATTATCAGGTAGATACTTAATTAACCTACTTGACACAAAATGTCTGTTGCACACATAGGCCAGGTTTCTATTCAAATGTTTTGCAAATGCGCAAAAAGTGGTCATATAAACGCATTACTATCTACAACTTGTCATAATCAAATCCAGGAGAAATAACTGGCCACAGTTGGGCTTCTGAGTAGTGTTAATATTCCCTCCCATATCCGTTTTCTTCTCGAACCATGTTATAACAATTAAAACTGCTGAATATTTTTGTGTTATATAGATATTTATATTTTTCTTTATATTATATATTTTCTCCAATAGTTGTGGGCTTCAGTAAATACGAGTAGGATTTAAAATAACGACTGTTTCGCCTGTTTCCGTGACCGCGTGGTTCCAGTGTGAAGCCGCTTCATGCCAGGTGGTGGCGCTAATTCTGTAACTATAACTTTCTCCAACTGCACTAAAGCGGAGAAGCAGAAGATTGTGTTATGGTCAGCAGTCCCCGCCTCCGCGCTCATACAGTGTTGTTGGAGGAGCAGAAAGAAGAGCTGAACTGTTGAAGGTAGGAAGCTGTCCGACACTTTAACACTCACTGTTCTTCATTCACTCTGAGACAAACAGCTGGAGACACATTTGAGTTCTGAAAATAAGATTTAATGGGTTTGAAATAGATTAGACAACACAGAAGCAGCTTCATTCAAACTTGCCTAAGGAGTTGTGCCAGAATTTTTGGTCGTTAATGTTTTCCTAGTTGGGTAGGTTATGACAAACGTAGAGTAGTTTTTTTTCTGATTTATTTTTCCCCCCCTTTTTTTTGGTTTTCCAACCAACTTTTGGAACAAGCTTTGGAATTCTTGGATTATCCAATGTGCTTCTTTTCTTTTGTCTGCCTAATGTTATCAAGTCAACTCCTTCATTTTCAAGCAAACTGTAAAAGATGTGCTCCATTGTCAGTTGAACACAAAGCAGATCTTATCATTCACTTATAAAAACAATGTACGAAAAGAGGTCAGATCTATCTATTATATGCTGAAATTTTCACAGATGGGTTTAATTGTGTGTACAAATGTGATGAGAACATCTTAGTTTGTTCTAGAACAATATGAAGTGCTTCCTGAGAGCTGTGAATGCCTGGGTGGGGGTTGTTGGCCAATGGCCAATGGATTAAGAGCTGGTAGGAGTGTCTATGGTGGGTGTTTGACATCTGTTTAGAGGGGATGTAGTGTGTGAGAGCTGTTCAGGAGCTTGATGGTCTTGTTTAGGTGATTCCAGTCCCAGTCCTGGGGACCACATGCTCTGCATTTTTTTTTGTAAATGAGGTGTGCTAGATAAAAGAAAACCTACAATTGTGTATAGTTTGAGGTCTCCAGGACTGGGTCAAGTTGTAGAACCTTTCCTGAAAACTGGTGGTCCTTGATTTTTAACTCTTTCTCCAGACAGCATGACTGAAAGAAAAGGCTGTGATGGGGCAGGAAGTAATGTTCATAATGAAGTAATTCTTCTTGCAGACATTTTGTGGTCTCAAACAGTAACCACAAACATGCAAGTAAATAATTGTTAACACTTTAACATTAAAAAAATAGACCTTATATATTTGTGCTTGGCTATATCTGTTTAATTTAACTTTAGGTGATTTTTAATTTAGAGGGGTAAAGTATTGGAAAGTCCTTTAATGGGTCAGAGGTGCATTTATTACACAACACATCCTGTCTGTTATTGTTTGTGTTATCCTTCTAATTGGCCATGATCATTTTGCATTAGATTTTTTTCCCCCTCTTTTCTCGCCCCACCTTCTCCCTTTTCATCACCTCTGTCTCTGTCATTTCTTCACTTGGGTGGTTTGGGTGTTCATGGTTGACACATAAAACAAAGAGGAATACAAAACAAACAAAAGTGGTGTCTGCCATAACGTTGTCATAACAATTTGATCATTATCTAACTGAAAAATGAATACAACATATGCATGGAATAAACATAAATGTGCCATAATTCTACAAATTGAAATACAATGTTACCATTTATTTGCTACATTTAATATATTACAGGAAAAAAAAATGTGGTATGTGTATGCAAATGTTTGGGCACCCTCTTAGTCAATGGTGACGCACTGAAACAGCAGGATATTTTAGAGAATAGACCAAGAGCTGATATTTTCAGAGATATTTCTTCTGGATCTTGCCTTGACTTCAATAGTTTTCCTTAACCTTAATTTTTTAATGCCATTTCAGACAGTGAAAGTTTATAAGCAGGAAGTATTCAGATTATTTTTCTCTTGCTTTGTAGGAGTTAATTATCTATAGTTTTAGATCCTCAGTAAGCTGTTTAGATAGGCACATGGCTGTGAAGTGTAAGAGCCCTAAGGGGTCCAAAGAATCACATAATTTATTATACCCGTAAATTGCTCACACTTGTAGCAAAATTCATATGTTGGTTTCTTAATGACCTTCTAAAGCAGAGGAACCAGTAACATTTAATGGAAGATTAGAATAATATGTATAGCGTTTGAAATAATTTTGTTTACCATAGGACATCAGTGGTCATGACCCCAGTTCGTACCTAAAGAGTTTGGGCTTTTCCACATCAGATGGAAGTTTATTCTTTCTTCACACTTTCTGGCAGTTGATGTAAGTAGTGCATTCATGATTTAATCAGACTGCATTTGTTGCATTGCACATTGACTTTATATTTTCTTTTTTCTTTTTCCAGAAATAAATGATGTCCTGTTTCAGGTCTTCTCCTGCACTTTTCCACCCAGCTTAAAATGTGCTTCCGTAACCACATCAGGGCACTTCACGAAGAGGAATGTTAAGCTGCTAAAACAGGTGACATATAAGAATATGGCGTCCGGAAGATGTTCTGGTTCTCAGCAAATGTCATCTGGTACCCTCCACATAAGCACATCTCACAGACAATCACAGAAATGCAGCAAGGAGAGAACTCACTACTGCTTGGAGTGTGGAAAGAGTTTTACCCGACAGAGTGCTCTCAAAATACACCAGCGCATTCACACAGGAGAGAAGCCGTATTATTGCTCAGAGTGTGGGAAGAGTTTTAATCATCAGAGTTCACTCCAACGACACCAGCTCATTCATAGAAAAGAAATGCCATATTACTGCTCAGAGTGTGGAAAAGGTTTTAATCAACAGATTGTTCTCCAAAAACACCAGCGCATTCACACAGGAGAGAAGCCGTATCACTGCTCTGAATGTGGGAAGAGTTTTAGTCAACAGATTCATCTCCAAAAACACCAGCGCATTCACACAGGAGAGAAACCTTATCACTGCTCAGAGTGTGGGAAGTGTTTTACTTTACAAGGTAATCTCCAACGACACCAACTCATTCACACAGGAGAGAAGCCATATTATTGCTCAGAGTGTGGGAAGTGTTTCAGTCGTCAGAGTTCTCTCCAAGAACACCAGCGCATTCACACAGGAGAGAAGCCTTATTATTGCTCAGAGTGTGGGAAGAGTTTTACTCTACAGAGTAATCTCAAAATACACCAGCGCATTCACACAGGAGAGAAACCATATTACTGCTCAGATTGTGGGAAGAGTTTTACTCTACACAGTACTTTACAAAAACACCAACGTATTCACACAGGAGAAAAGCCATATCAGTGTTCAGAGTGTGGGAGGAGTTTTACTGTACAGAGTACTTTCCAAAGACATCAGCGCATTCACACGGGAGAGAAGCCGTATCACTGCTCAGAGTGTGGGAAGAGTTATACTCTACAGAGTAACCTCCAACAACACCAGCGCATTCACACAGGAGAGAAGCCGTATTACTGTTCAGAGTGTGAGAGAAGTTTCAGACATTCAAATACTGTGATGACACACAAGTGCTTTAAGAGCAGTCATGGAAATGGACAGTAGTGAATTCAACCGTAACACATTCTGGGAGTAGAAGTCTGCAGGAAATGGTGCTTCCAGGTCAGATTTCAAATTGTTTTCAGGGAAAACACACCTATTGTTTTTCGCTGTTTCTAAAGTTTCTAAAACATGAGCATTAAATGAATTTATTTCCTGTGCTGAACAGTAAGTCAAGCCTACAGCTCATACACCCAACACAAAGATGAGATACTGCAGATTTCTCTGAAATTTATTTTCATTTGTAGTATATGTTGAAAACAATGGAGAAGCTCCACGTTCAACAATAAGGGGTTCTTTACTTTTTAATTAGTATATCTTGGGTATTACAGTGTTTCTGATGATGAATGTTTTTGACAAACATATGACAGTGTGTTTCTGCTCCTTTGATTCCTACACGTTAACTAGTTAATGTTTTTTGCAATTACAGTACCATTTTGTCTTCACTTTTAGCATTTAGGGGATGTATTTGTATGAACTATGTTTGGCATGTTCTTTTTGAGGACTGTAACAAAGGAGATATGACTCTGAAGACTGGAACAATGATGTTTTGCTGTGCTGGGCAGTACTGAACAGCTTTGGAGACACAGGAATATCAAGGACTGCAAAACATTAAGCTGTCGCTGTATATCTGGGCGTGTGTCTAGTGATGTACTGGTGATCTCTCCTCAGTAAGGCCTACACAAGACTGTTCTATGCAGCATAAAGTTGCACACTGGCCAGACTCCAGCTCATCCTTGATCTTTCCATTGCTCTTTTTAGAGACTTTAAGGACTGTTAATATTCTTTCTATGCGTGATACTTGGAGACTAGTTGTTGCTTAAGAACGGTGCAGTGACATGAGAAATGTACTTTCATGCCCATCTCTAATCTATCCTACTAGACATGTTGGTGGCCTATGGTACAGCAGTTGCAACTGAGTATCTGTGTCATCATGTAACTGGGTGAAAGGTGACTATTAGCGAAGTTCATGGTCCTGGGCTTCACTGAAAGCGACTGTTATTAAAATGTGCATGAGGCACTGTTTGTTGACTGAATCTCATCAATGACAATGTGTTCAGTTATGTTACTGAACCAATCCAAGTTTGCATTGGAGCATCCCTAGAGGTTTATGGATAGGGGGGCTAAAGCTGTACTAGGGGATGCTGGGGGGCGTGGTCCAGGAGAATTTTTATTTTTTTAATGTCCTCAATAAACTTCTCGAGGACGAACGGTCAGAAAATATATATATAATAAAATGGCTATTTGGTTAAATTGGCACACAGTAGATGTGTTTCTTTGTAGTTTGTATTAAGCAAAGAGCTAATATGACACACTATATTCACCCACTTACAACATGCACAGATCAAGGAAAGATGCTCTAGTCAAGCAATGATATTTCTCTCTCTTTGATGAGCTGCAAGTTTGTAAATATATTATTCAAATATGCAGATTATAGATCAGTTCATTCTCAGTTGGTGCCATCAGAAAGAGTGTGATATTACTCTGTAGACATGTTGAAGAAGTGAGGTGACAGAATTTCATGGTCATTTTCTCAGTTAAATTTGATTCATTTTAACTGAAAGCTTAAACAACTCTTCCTCACTTTCTTCTTGATCACTAAACTCAATCAGATCTTCTCCTTCACTCCTGCCAGTCAGTCAGCTTCTTTCTCTCCCTCTCTTCCTGTGTTTAGTAGTACATTAATTTATTCAACTCAGATTTAGAAGAACTAATGTGAGATCAATAAATTATATATATATATATATATATATATATATATTTCAACTGGTAAGAATCTCATCTTACTGGCCTTCAGCAGAGCTGCCTCTTAATTTCCATCCACAGGTTGAGGAATTGAGAGACATAAAATTGTAATAGGATAAGCACTATGTAACCTTTTCACTGACATTAACTTACTGTAAACAATATATGGGAAATACTGGTGTCATTGTTTCCAAATACTGAAGAAAAAATATAACGACAAAGACCGAAGGTCTGTCATTAATGTTTTTTCTGTCTCTGAATGTAAAGTTTCTACAAATTCTGAAGCTAGTTGGTTTGTCAGTTCCCTAGCTAATGTTATTGTTATCTAACTGCTTTTCTTTACCTCATTTAAACCCAAAGTTAGCTAGCTAACAAGCCACTATTTAGTGTTACACTCTGTATATTACAGATCTTGAATAAAGTCTAGTGATAATTTTAGCCAAAATCCTGTCACAGCTTAAGGAATTATGGAATTAGAAAATGAATTAAGGAACTACTAAATAAGGAACTGGAAAAGTTCCTGCTGGTTACCAAAGATGAAACTTGCCTCTTTAGGTTTCAGAGTACATGTGCTGTCAGAATTGTTACAGACTTCTACAAAAATGACAGTTTTGGAAGCGAGTTTTCGGAGCTTGTTATCAACGTTTAAGGACTGGCACTCCTGTGCTGAATAAAGAGCAGAGTGTGAGAGTACTTAAAGCAGGCAGCAGGTGAAGGGCTTAATGCAGCATCGGGCATTAGAGACATACACAGCCATTCCGATGTACAGACCACAGCACAAAGAAAGAGCACAATATCTGTTCCAATCACTCCATTTGCAGAACAGATCTGAATCACTGCAAGGCCTCAGTGAGTCTCCTAAAGGCAGTGAACATAACGCAAAAGGACTAGAAGTGCCCAATGAGAGTTACTGGGTCCCAGTCTGCGGTCACAGCAGACACCCTTGTTTTTGGGGATGACTCTGGCATTAAAATCAGAAACTTGTAGTTCAATGCGAGCTGAATATCACAGTCTGTTGAAAAGCTCTATTTGAGGTTTGTTTCCAAGCAATTATTATTGGGTGATCCTTTGAGTATCTCTCTGCAGTTCTGAAAGGGGCAGCAAGAATATTACTAGAAATTATCCACAGGCCTCCAAAGTACAATGCTAATTTTATTGATGAATTTACAGATGTTATCTTTTATTTCCACAAATTTTGATCATTTTGTTATCGCTGGCGATTTTAACATACATATTGACAATCCGAATGACAGTTATGCCTAAGAATTCTGTGCCATATTGGACTCTTTCCAGTCTCTCAGCATGTGACTGGGGGCTCACGTCATGGTCATATACTCTGGATTCCAAAGGGTCTTATCAGCCATTATTTAAGATGTTGCTGTGTCACATCATTAGTATGCTTTCTTTGAAATGTGGACCTCACTAGACATAAAGACCAGACACATTTGCTTTAAGAAAAGGTTTATGACAGCACAGCTACATTTTTCATGAGCAAAATGTGCTTTGCACCTTGCAAATCATCTGTTTCTGCTGATGCCTGACCCCTTAGATGATTACTATCAATATTATAATTCTGTCTGTATATTTATTTTAATTAAATATTTAATATGTTTTATTTATATAATGTACATCAGTAATATACATGTTGTCTTGTACCAAAGTCTAAACTAAAAATATTGTAATTCTCTGACATGCTGTTTATAAAATGGGTTCTAATATCATGGTATTATTAAAATCTGATTATTGCTGTCTAGGCAATCTAATGACAGTGTAAGATGAGAGATGTTTGAAAATGCACCCTTTAAATTGTATAGTATATTTTGTCAGTGTCTCAGAAGGGAGGTTTTGGATCTTTGTAAAATTTTGATTTTCTTTTTCTTTTTTTTTTCTTTTTTATTTATTTGTTTTTTAAAGCTTGATTGTTGACCATCACCCAATAATACTTGCTGGCTGTGGTGTTATTCGCTGTGAATGTGAATGAGAAGCTGTGACGTATGGGTTATACTGGCACTTTTACTTTAACAGCGCCTGTCAAGAGTTTAGAGAATATCAGTACTAGTTTTTTCCGGAAGCATGAAGGGGGTGCTTCAGACCAATGTCCTGTGCCACTCTGCTCTGTTTTGTCAAGATATAATTTGGTAGTGAGTTTTCATTCTTTCCCTACGGATGAGACACTTCGGCGAAAAATGGCTCGTCAAGATACGGCAGGAAAACTTTAATGTCACTTAGCACACAAAAGTGTGCAGCAGTCACTTTACAGAGAGTGATTTTGTTGTGGGCAGTAGCTGGAGATGTCTTAGGAAACCTCGGTACCGACCATTTTGAGTGGAACCGGTATATCTAAACTAAGCCATGACTTGGTGTTTGGGAAAGAAGAGAAAGACATTTGTTTCTCCGTATGACACTTTCGCAGTGGAGCTAATGGACGTATCACCACCATGATTACAATGCAACACCTGAACCCACAGCCTGTGTTTAATTAGATCTTCCAAATGGCTTCCTACTCCGTACATAGTGCACTAAATAGATTACACAAGTAGTTTAGTTCACAATCAATTAGTGCACTTAATGTAGCAATGTAAGCTGAATCATCACATGGGCCAACTACCTTTACCACAGCTGTGATCTGTGTGTATCTGGATGCCACCGGAAGTTATCAAGGATCACCTGCCCAAGGAGTTCTCAAGAGACCCAGACACACAGGTAGTCATTGAACGCACAGAGCTTCGCTGCCAGACACCATCATCTTAACTGCTGCAGAGTGAAATATTTTTCATACAAGTCCTGCAGTTTAAACCATGACCACATTACCACTAAATAGTGAGTGAAATGAAATTGCTTATCACAAACCTTATATTTGCTAAAACATTTGTACTTGAGAAAATATAAAACAATGACATGCAAATGGCAAATACATAAATTTATTAGCAAACAACTAAAATGCATTATACCATCAGTTATAATGGCAATTTAAACTGTGCCAATGATGTATCAAAAATGTTGTGAAAAAAATAAAGCAAAAAAAAAAAAAATCAAAATTAATCCTGGCAAAATATATAACATTTATCGTGTAACATTTAAGTCTGAAGTTCTCAAACCAGCCCCCAAAGTCCACATTTTTTATCTGTTCCAGCTCCCAACAAACTTGAACCAAGATAGTAAGAACACTGAAGAGATTATACAGGTGTGTTCAGAGATTTATTAGAGCAAAACTGTGGACCATCTGGAGGCCCCTGAGGACTGGTTTGAAGACCACTGATTTAAGTACAGTTTTCATCAACAGAATTAATGTACTGATGGCATGGAATCATAAATAGAAATAGACATTTTAAGCTAAATACAGAGTTAATTTAAGTGCTTATAACATAGCAAATACATTTCAGTTCCACCTATTACTTATCACAACTAAATTTACAGACATCTAGGCATGTAAAGCTAAAAAAAAAGTCTTTACTTACCTCTGTGTCTTGGAGTATGCACTGCACCAACATGTCCTCTTCAGCAATACAACAAAGTCATACCAGTCCATTCCTGTGATCAGCATCTGCCCTTGGATCTGCCAGCAGTAGTTATGATGACGCTTCAGCTGCAGTGTGCCACACTATTTTTCTAGGTGGGAGGAGTCGATATAACTCTTAACCTTAGGGCACTTTACCTCGACAAGGCCATATTGAAAGATTTCAGTGGGATCGTACTCAAGACCATCAGAAGTGGACCCCATCCAAGGTACATCTGGGTAAACCACAAATCCACACAGGTAAACATTGGTATTCCTCGTCTGGCTGTATTCTTGAAGTGAGCTGGCTCCTTAGCAATTTCTCTTCTCATTGCAACGGTCTGATGACATCCATTCAATATACTGTCAGCCAGGTGCTCACATGAGCTTTACCCACCAACAGACCACATTTTCCCAGAAGCGTGAGGACGTCAAACGTGGCTTTCTTTGTGCCATTCTCCACACTCGCTCTGCTTTCTGGTTGCACACTCAATTGTGTGTGCCATTTCCTAGGTGATGGTAAGAACCTTCAGACGGAGCTGTTCTTTCTTACTGCAAACAAACATGGAGTCTAGACATGCCAGTCAGTATGCAACGGGAGGAACAGCTGGAGGCAGAGGTTCATCATGATGAGGAGCTATGTAATATTTTGCTACTGGTTGCTGGTAAGACAAAGGACCACCAGCTTGCACGCTTCCAAATATTACCTCAACGAGTGAATGATTTCTGATTGGATAGACGTACATACACATGACATTAAAAACGAGATTCTTAGAGGTTTGGTGCTTTAATTTTCATGTAGTTTTTAGGAACTTAGCTGGATATTCTTCTAATATCCTGGCCCATGTACAACTTTTACGCCTTGTTGAACATGGAGGCATAGGCTAATTAAGGAAAGGATGCAAGCACTTTCACTAAATTAACTTGCTGATCTGTTGTCAATTTTCTTTGGTTCTCTTACGTCTAGCTATTTGACTGACCCAACTCAATCCAGTGTCCTGACATGTTTTTACCAATACCATTTTTATTAAAGTTTAACAGTAATACAAGAAATTATATGTATTCATTTTGATTCATTTAAGAAAATGACACGGATCAAATTAAAAGGTAGATAACACGAGACGTAGAGTTTAATTAAATGCTCTGAACTTGACTGTCTAATAAAAGGTGGAATTGAGTTCCACAGTTTAGAAGCATAAAATCTGAATGAGGCCTCTCCATGTTTTCTGTATTTTACAGAAGGTATTTGTAGAAAGCCAGTATCTGTAGATCTAAAATCATGTGTTGGAACACGAACAGACACTCTGTGATGTAAGCGGGTGCTAGGTCATTTACAGCCTTAAAAACTAGTAGCAGAACTTATATATTCTGAATAAATATCCTGAATGATACAGGTAACCAGTACAATTCTTTCAAAATGGGAGTGATATGATCTCTTTTTTTTTTGTTTTTTTGTTAGAATGCGTGCTGCTGCATTTTGCACAAGTTGTAAGGGATATATTGTTTTCTGACGAAGTCCAATAGGAAGAGCATTACAGTGATCAACTCTGCTTGTAACAAATGCATGAACAAGTTTCTCTGCCATAGAAAGAGTTTCCCTGAGATAGAAAAGGCCGAACTTTAGCAATATTTCTCAAATGATAAAAAGCTACTTTAGTGACATGTGTTTACATGTGGGATAAAACAGAGCTCAGAGTCTAAGATCACACCCAGGTTTCATACTTCAGGTTTG